TTTTGATCCAAAACCTGCACCAAACTACCGCTTTTCTTATTAAAAAAATATGACATAGCATTCATAGCTTCCCACTCCAAAATTTTCTGCAAGAGCATCATCAGGCAAACCACCACTGCATTGGTGGCAACATTGAACCATAGTTCCATAGATGACTGTAAATATCAGCTGTTGTAAAAAGTGCACTGACAAAATCATACAACAAAATATTTCTATCCATTTAGGCCACAATTTTACTCTGCTGCTGATCTGCTTAACAAGAGCTCATCCAAACAAAGAAAGTCAACTTGCCCAGTTGTTGGGTGGCAGTTGTTGACCAGATGGGTCAGCAGCAGCACTGTCTTCCCAGATATAGTAGTCATTATATTTTCTTTCCCGCTTCACACTCTTCTCGAACCAAGGATGTTTATCACTTGTGTGATTGGGTACCAAATCCATCAACAATTCGATCCCTTCATATGAATTAGAAAATGAGAGAAGAGATATCCATAGTCTACTTTAAGAAAGTCATTCCCAAATCTCTCACCTCTTGAACGCAGCTTAGCAACAAGGGCTTCAAAGTCAGCCATTGTTCCATATCTCTTATCAATGGCAGTAAAGTTGGAGATGTCATACCCAAAGTCCTTGTTGGGAGATTCATAGATTGGATTTAGCCATACAGCCTTCACACCAAGGTCGTCCAGGTAGTCCAATTTGCTTTCCAACCCTATAAGGATTCATACATCTTGTTTCTCTCTTAAAGGACTAAAAATACCAAAAAGTACTGATTGACTAACTCTAACCTTTCAGATCACCAATCCCATCTCCATTACTGTCCTTGAAAGAGCTAGGATAAACTTGATAGATAGGGCCCTTTTGCCACCATTCTCGAGTTGCACGTGGTTCACATTTGGGAGCTAGGATGATGATAATGATGGCTCCCACCAACATACCAACCCACAAGAGCCAAAACAATATGAATATGATCCAGCGCAGACGGACCCAAAATGGGTCATTTGAGTACTTCATCAGCTCTTCCTTTGTCAGTCCTATAGATAAAAATATATCCCATCACTGTGTTTAAGGTCAAAACCTAATCCCATTTTGACAGCAGTCAATGCCTGTTACCAAAATGGTAGATGTCGCTTATTATGATCGTGTTGATACAAGGAAATTTGATATCATTAAGTGGCTGATAACAATAGGTGGAGGCAACCAATGCCATAGCAGATGCAATGGATGTAGATACTGGCAATCATAAAAGTTACTCAGATCCTATGTTAAACAATTTCCAGGCCAAAATCAAAAACTAACTTCTGATGGCAAGGGAGAGATCTTTAGAAAAACAATCTCACACATATACAGAAGCCATATGTAATAATAGCAAAGTCTTCTTCCAAGCTATGGTATACACACTTTCATTGATGAAAGAATGGGATGTCAACTGAAGATAAAAATTGTTCACTGTGACAACTTTGATGACCAATAGACAGTGAATAGATGGCCTGGACAGTGAATGCCCATAAATTAAAAAAGCATTTACCTCTCCTCCATTTTTCAAATCATGGAAGAAACAAAGAAGAAATATAGGAATTTATCTAACATGGACTAGGTCCCCAGGTTATGAACTCTCTCTAAT